AGAGTGACGTCCTCCTCTCTGCCCCTTAATGCTCTCTGTTCGCTTTCAAAATAAGACACACAACTACAACACGGGAAAAGATCTGGGGAAACCAAGTTAACGATAAAAATCCTGAAAACTCTAAATTTCACACCCGAGCCTCAACTCTCGCGGCCCGATAATAAACGACTCCAAACGACCTCTGATTTAAGACATACATTTTATTGTAATGTATTGTATAAAACGTTGTAAAACCATATGTAATGGAAGAGTTTAAAGGAAGATTGTTGTGATACAAGAAGAGTACCACAATAAGTCTGTAATTATTGTACTGAATGTCCTGCTCTTTAACAAAAAAATATCTTGATCTCAAACAGTGCAGGAACTGTGACTACCAACAAGAGGCAGACAACAGCTGTATCTACGTCAATAAAATCACCCATGAGGTTGAGTAAGTAACCACAATACAACATAAATTAGCAAATGTTTTATTTCCTCAATTTGAATAATTCGTCATTTTCCATTACAGACTGAGTCACACATTAAAGTGGGCGATAACTTCCTATTCAATCACTGCAGCACTTCTGAATGCAACCAAAACTGTTATGACATCTAGGGTTAAATGCGCTGTGTAGACCCATTCAGCCACGCAGATTTGATTGATTTCTCCAAATATGCACAAAAGATTTTCTGTGTACAATTTCAGACAGTACAAAGCAGTGTTTTTATGTGTACTCACACATACTGAATGGTAGTGGTGCAACGGATCACGGTTGATCCGAAATCCGAACCAATCCCACTCCACGGTTCGGTACGCACGTGATCCGAAGATTTGAAAAAGAAAAAAAAAAGTATGTGTATGGTGCGCATGGTCAGTCTGTCAAGCGGTAGTTATGGCCAGCACTAGCGGTCCAAGTAGCAGAGCAGAGGAGTTTGTGGCATTTAAGCAGCCCTTTGCTGGCCAGACCGGGCTAAAGCTATTACTAACGCTAATGGGGTTTTTAGCTGCAGACGGGAGGCCGTCGTCTGTTGTGCAAAACAAGGGGTTTAAACTGTGATGAACGTGCTTGAGCCACGCTATGATATCTTGTTGCGCGTCCACTTCAGTGACAAGATTGTTCCAAGCATGTATGAGCAGGAGAAGTTTAAAGTTTTGGCTGAACTGTCCCAGGCATCTTCTGTTGCTCAAACTACAAATGGGTGGAGCTCCAGGGCAACGGAAAGCCACGTTATATCACAGCGGAGTGGTAGATACAAAGCCCTGTACTGCCCTATAGATTACATTAGATTAGATGAAACTTTATTTATCCCTCGATGGGTTCCTCCGGGAAATTCAGTTTCCAGTAGCACAGCACCAACAGAAGTTGCAGAATGTGAGCAGAAATATACCATATATACACATTTATAAATACAGAGAATACAAAAGGGATAAATAGGAATTAGAATACAAGGGAACGGCACATTTTAAGTATTGTGAGTCTATTACACTGTTGGATATTAACAAAAACTATTGCACGGTGAAAAGGCACTACAGCTACTTGTTCCCCCCTCCTCTGTCCCCATTTCCCCTCCAGCGAGGAGTTAAACAGTTTGTTGGCGTGTGGGACAAAGGACTTTTTAAGTCTGCTGGTCCTTGACTTTGGGAGAAGCAACCTGTTACTGAACAGACTCCTCTGGTTGTTTATGGCTGTGTGCAGAGGATGCAGAGGCTGCCCAGCATGGTCCATAATGTCCATATTGCACCTTAATTTGTTTTTATATAAGTGCGTGGAATGAGTCTTCAGTTGAATGTTTTTTAATAGGGAAAATATATTTAAATAAGTAAACGGCGAGTAGAATTTTTGTCTTTTTTTTCTATTTTTGCTGATCCGAAAATTGATCCGATCCGTGACTTTAAAACCGTGATCCGATCCGAACCGTGAGATTTTTGATCCGTTGCGCCACTACTGAATGGCTAATCTTTAGGAAAAAACATTAGCATTTTTTGCATGTGGGCTTCCTTTTGTAGTGCGCACAGTACTAGAATTTTAGATTGCATTCATAGGTCATGTCAGTCGATGAGCTCTAAACCTCATGCTTTCATTTTTTTCCCAGTGAACTCACACAAATCATCGCTGATGTATCTCAGGACCCAACACTGCCAAGAACAGAAGACCACCCCTGCCCTAAGTAAGTTTTACCATACCTACTGACCTCCCTCAGCGCCCATGCTTCACCTCCTGTTGATGTTTTTAAGGGTATTTTGGGTCATTATCCTCTTCCGTTGTGAAGTGCTGTCCAATCAGTTTTTCAGGATTCAGCTGAATCCGAGCAGAGACTATAGCCTTGTTTGCTTAATCAATAAATTGCAGTGATCCAGTTCCACTAGCAGCTTTACATGCCCATGCCATAACACTGCCTCCACCATGTTTGACAAATAATGTGATATACTTCAGGTCATGAGCTACTACTTTTCTCTTCCCGTCATTCTGGTACAAATTCATTTTGGTTTCATGTGTCCAGATATTTTTTCCCTGATGTGAGTGGGCTCTTTTAGAGCGTGTGGCAAAATCGAATCTGGCTTTTTGCTTTTTGAGTGTAATCAGACGTTTAGACCATTTTGTGGAACCTCTGTATTTACATTCATGATAATAATCTCATGATCTTCCACTTTAGTTCTGACTGTATAATTGACCACCTGGCTGCAAAAATGCTTATCCAATTTTGGAGTAATTATGTTTTGTTGTTGTTTGTGTTTTTTTTAAAGGTCTGTAATTCCTAAGTGCTTCTACTGCAAAATATTTATTAAAAGGCATCATGATTTGTAAAACGGCATTGTTACCCATACACTTTTTAAGTAGCAAGTGAAATGTGTAATTCTAAAAATAAGTGCAGAGTCAATAATTACTGACACAGCATACTTCCTTATTTAAGCAGCAGAGCGTTGTTTAATCTGCATGTCTTGAAACTGATTGGTGCACATAGTCATCAATCAGTGAGACTAACTGAGCGTATGGTCATGCAAAACGGATGGAGCGTAGATTACATCACTGGGGTCTCAGCGTAAAAGCATTATATTTAACCACATCCCTGCTCTCGTGTGTCTACATTTTATAATTACTTTATGTCTTCTTGAGGCACACTAACAACATATCAAGTAATTACTTAGACGGTCACCGTAGACAGAGGAAATCTGGATAAAGGTTCAGCCTGCCCTGAAATAAACTGTTGGTGGTCATTGTAGGTTTCCACAAGCCATTTCAACTTTAATGGACTGTGGAATGAGATGTTGTGGCTCTGATGGTGGTAACACTTTTATAACGTTTTTCTTTCACTGTTTCTCTTCTCAGATGTGGTCACAAGGAGGCGGTGTTCTTCCAGTCTCACAGTATGAAGGCTGAGGTAATTGCAACCTATGCGCTTTCTCTATATCTGCACAAGCTGATATATATATATATAAAAATAAAATATAAAAAAATCTTTCCCCATGTCAAAAATACAAAGCTAATACATTCTTCTTAGCCCCTGCTTTTCAGAAGGCACCACATTATTAATCCAGAATATATATTTGAGAGAGGTATTTATTAAAATCGTTTGTTTTGACTGACACATTTTTGTGTGTTTCCCCACACAGGATGCTATGCGACTGTACTACGTGTGCACGGCGCCTCACTGTGGACACCGGTGGACAGAGTGAAGCCTTCTGATAATAAAGAGGTCTAGCACTTGCTTCTATGCTGTTGCTGTCAGCACTCGTACAGTATCAATCTGGGTCTGTGTCTACAGTGAATGCATTTGGCTTTATAAAATAGCAGCATTGCTGACCCCTCTGTTATTGTTGTATGGACACTCATATCTGTCACCATGTTGTGAATATAATGTCATCAGTTTTGCTGTTGTGCTTTTTAGCGCTTGTCATTTTCAAATGTGTATTGTTAGATTAAAACATGTTTTCAAACATCTCTTGAGTCTTAATAATTGTGAAACTCTTCATGCACTCCATCTCTGAGTGACACCCTGGCTACATTTTGAGAATCTTTTGTATAATAATAGTTATTTCGTTACATAATTAAGGTTATATCAAGACTAAGTAACACATAAATGTAAAACCAGGATACAACAGTTAATATAAAAGAGTTATTAGAGTTTGTTTGTTTTTAATGAATTACTCCTGATTTGGTCTGAGTCACTCAATCAGTATTTCTGGGTTTTTTGAGAATAGCAAGAATCAGTGATCAGATAATGCTCCTAAATATTTTTAACTATAGGCCGGGAAACCTCGCCAACTCGCACACAAGTTCACCTTCAAATCAAACCAACTGACTTCCAAGTAGAGAAGTCGGTATAGATATTCACTTCCTGTTTCCAGCCTAGACTGTTAATGATTAGTGGGGGTTAAAACCATGAAACACAAGACTGGTTGTGTGTTTTCCTTTGAGTCACAACAGCTGAAAATTTAGACCACAAATCACATGTAACCAGTGCACATCCCCAATATTCACAAAATGTCTTGAGACTGTAGCTGACTCATTCGCTTAATGCTGAACATATTCGCAGCAGAGATGAGCCAAATAAATGTACAGTTGGCAACTTTAATAAGAATTTGATAATGTAATCTACACGTCTTGTTATTTGGTTACAAACTCCATGTGGTTTTACCCATTATGTTATATATGTGTGTGTGTGTGTGTGTCAAGTGTGTTCATCTTTGGTAGCGATGAAAACCTATGATTTCTGTCCACAGTCTTGTTGTTGACAGAAATCCTAGGTTTCTGTTGTTGTTTTAAAGTAATTAAAGATAAATGCTGTACAATCATTCCACCCTGGAAAAAGAACAGTCCAAAGAAGTCATTCAAATCCCCAAAATTCCCCTGAAATTCATGGCAAGTTTTGGATTTAGAGGGTAATTTGCAATGAGTGGATACAAACTTCAGACCCAAGCTGTAGCTACAGGTCTGCTCTCAGTCCAACTGGGAAATGCATCTAATACATTACATTAACAAGTAAACGGGAGTAATTTTTGATGAGTCAAGTCAGTTTCTTAAAGCACCAGTGACACTTCATGGACTTTCTCAGTTTTCAGACTACTCCTAAATTTGAAGATCATGACACGGCTTGTCTTTTTTCCTCCGTGCTACTGATTTTGTAATGTTAGTTAGTAGTTATGCGTGTGAAAAATCAGAGGTTTTCTCTAGCTGTGCAACATTCAGGAAATACTGTGTTGTACTTCCTTCTTTTTTAAGCACGTATATTCCAGACATCTTGTTGGGCAACTGTAAATTATTGCTCGGCTGGTAAAACTAGTGGGAAAATAACTCGTGCTCATTAAGTACATAATAGGTGTACTTCCCAAAACCACACCCCTTGAAACAGGCTCTTTGATAAAGGAGCTGCACTACTTGCCACGAGTTAGTCTGCTTTGTGGGACGCCATGGACCGACAAGGTATGGAAACAGACAGCTTTGCACTAAGGATGGTTTCTGGTTTACTAATTAGATTTTCTTTTATGAATGCTGAGTATCAATTTGATTGATTTCAATCTGTTTCAGTGAGCATTGTTTCAAGGCAAGAGTGGGGAGCAGCCGCTGCCAAACAAACCAAGGCTCTGAAAGGACCTGCCCGAAGAGTTGTTATCCACCACACTGCCTACCCAAGCTGCAAAGGCCTGGCTGAGTGCAAAGCCAGCCTTGTCAGTATTCAGAGATACCACATGAAAGACAGAAAGTTTGATGATATTGGATACAAGTGAGTTCCTCTGTTAGTGCACAAGAACTGTGTGCAAATGTTTGGTTTTGTTATCAAAGCTTACCTGTACTTCTTCAATGTTTAGTTTTCTTGTTGCTGGAGATGGGACTGTGTTCGAGGGTCGTGGCTGGGGTGTGATGGGCGCACATGCCAAGGACCACAACAGTGACTCACTGGGAATTGCCTTCATGGGGAATTTCAACAGTAAGCACTCCTTATTTTGTGTGTATCATATACAAGAGCATGTTGTTCAGGGTGTAGACATAAAATGATGAGGCTGGGCCTGTGTGTGCAATACAAACGTTAATCTTTATTTAGTAACCGCACCTTGTATCATAGGAAAAGATCATAAAAGCAGGGTAATTTTAATACAACAAGCACACACACACATTGGATATTGCACATTATTCTCCATATAATGATAAAGCTACTTCTTGTTTTCATTGCAGATGAGACGCCGAGTGAAAAAGCAGTCGTTGCGGTGAAACAGCTGCTGCAGTCTGGAGTTTCCGCAGGATTTCTACAGCCTGGGTTTGACCTGTATGGACACAGAGATCTGGGAAACACAGAGTGTCCAGGAGAAAAGCTTTACGCCGCACTGCCACGACTGAGGAGCACGTCGTGAACCTCGCAGACGATTTGTCAGTGTTTTGAGAAATTGCACCCCTTCCTTAAATTGCACACAGACCCCATGACCAGCGTCTGTGAAGTAAGCAAGGTGTTAGGAGGAAGAAGCTTTCTAGATCCGACACTAATGCTCAGGTTTCTTTTTTCCTCGTCACATTATATGCATATTATTTGCACATTATTATATTTTTTATTATCTGTTAGCAGGAAGAGTCTGTTTTCACAGCCTGTCAGAGCTTTCTTTTACAGCAGAGGGAGCCGTTGCATGGGATGAGAATAACGCAGGCTTTATCTGTTTAGAAGTGCAACTGGAAACTCAATGATTAATTGGTTAAGAATTGACAAAAAGTCTTATAATTTAAAAGCTATGATTCTTATAATTGCTGTGTGATGTCAACATATAGAAAGCACCGTAAAGATTTCAAATTGTGTCACATTTGTTGCATCTTCGAGATCAGCAGACTAAGCTGAAGATCAAAGTAAAAGAAAATTCTATATAGAGCTATTTAAAACTTAGTGCTGACAACATATAGGCATATAGGGAATAATATATGGGGATTCTAAGTTATTGTGGACCTCTGACCTCTTCTACAAGGTCAAATTTTTATAAAATGTCTTGTATCTTTAAAGTTGTACTTAAAATTCTGCTGCCTTTGTTTGTATTGGCAACAATCAGGAAATAACTCAGGTGTATGGGGATTCAAAATATCACATTATAGTTTGGCTTTTAAATTTCACATCCGCCTTTCTTTTATGCTGACCTCAGAAATGTGTTTTATATTTAAAGAGAGAATTGAGACAAAGACAATGAGCTTCCTAGTTAGTTAGAAATATATTGTAGTATCCTATTATATAATAAGTTATTCATGTCCCATTATTTACAAATCAGTACCTATTATTCATTATCTACTTCTCTAAAATGTAATGTAAATGTATAAAGTAAACATCTGTCAAATTTCTCCTAACTAATTTTTTCTTAAAGGACGTTTAAAAAGAACAAAGAAAATAAAAAGAATACAATAAAAACACAATATTGTTCCTTTAAAAGTTAAAAACACACAAACTGAGCTGTCTTGGCAGAGGTTTGCAGTCTCAGAGTGCTTCTTTTTATTACTCGATTCATTGTTTGTTTGATTTTTTTTTTTACGTATGCGAGGAATTTTCTCTTTTTCTCTATCACAAACACCACACAGGGTGAAGGGTTTTTTTTGTATGTAGTTAGAAGAGTTAATGATAATGATATTATCACAATATCTGTAAGAAATTCCAAGAAGCTACTTGTCTAAGCTATCTTTTAGTTTGTTTATTGAGTGTTTTGTTTCGTTTTTGGCAAACAGATTAAAGTTCAAATAACAGTTGCAGAAGCCCGTGAGACTGTAGCCATAACTGTGCAAAAAGAACAACTACACCTCAAGGTAATGTAAACTAAAGGTGAACAAGACCAAACATCTGCCACTCAGGTGAAATAATCACTTGCAAGAGGCAGAAAAAAGAACGTTTGTGTGCGAGACCACGGGCTCACAAAAATAGAATATGTGTATTATTAAAATAATAATAGAGTTTTTTATCACAGTTAGCTATGCTGGCATATCGCAGCAACACTTGTTAAACCGCAGAATAATTATTAAGTATATTATTGAACAACAAACAATCTTTACAAGTCCTGTTTTCTCATGCAAATGTCCTTCAAATATCTCTGCAAAAAACACTGTAAACAACACAAGATATGGAATCAAGGGCATTGTAAGTGCTGAAACAACAATGCATGCTTTCTGCAGTGCCAGAAACATTCCCAACAAGTGCTCACTTGTGCAGCACACAGATTATGGAGGAGGGCCCTATCAAACAGGCTAAATGGCAAAGGTATTAGACTGTATGACTAATCCTTGTCTTCATGACTAATATATAGTAGACTTTATTGTTGTCAATGATCAGTGTAACTGAACAAGATGCTAGGACACAGCTACAGTGAAAGTTCAATGTGTTCAGACAGGGAAGGGAAGTGCTGTGTAAGTTCTAATAGATTCATCAAATTAAATGGATTTCTTTCTTCTGTGAGAAGAATTTGAAACAATAATCCAACCAAGAAGCATGTATATTATTCTTTTATTATTATTACCTTGTCATTGTCGGAACAGATATTAGATATCACTGCACTGGCTATACATGAATCTTTTTAAATGTTTGTTGAGCAACAAACTTAATAAACTAAGTCAAAGTAACGCAAAGGCATTGAGTTTGTGTGTCACCCCTTCCAAGTGGTGAAAAAAACAGATATTAGATATTAAATTATAAAACCTGATATGAATTTGCAGTGTGTGTGTGTGTGTGTGTGTGTGTGTGTGTGTGTGTGTGTGTGTGTGTGTGTGTGTGTGTGTGTGTGTGTGTGTGTGTGTGATGACCTTTTGTTCACTCCTGCTGCTGTTTGTAGAATAGAAAATAACACAAGGCTATAACTCATCGCCCCTTAGGCCCTGCTTCACTTTCTTGTGGTTGAAGGAGTGCCCACATCACTCAGGAACCTCACATGAACTTATCGTTTGTACCGGTGTGACATGGAGAGGTGAAGGCCTTTCAGACAATAAAACAAGCAGGAAAAACTCATATCCCTGTCTTACATTCATTTACACCAGATCTATTTCATCCCCTTTCTGATGGAAAGGCATCATAGCAGAAAGTTATTGGCAGGATTTATTGACAGTCACATATTTAGAGTGAAGAAAAGCAATCTGACTTCTGCTTGGAGAGGAGAGCACAATGTAAAATATAATGATGTGGTTTTCTTTAAATGATCTATTCCTCCTTAAGTAGGAATACATACATCTGGCACTGCAGTAACATGCAAGTAGGGCACGTGAACTTGATGTATCGTGCCAAAGCGTGCTCAGCTTAATTCTAACTTAAATGCATTTAAACCAGGATGGTGTAGGTGCCTTAAAAACAAGTGAACTCTGATAATGAGTTTATGAGCAGCCTAATGAATTTATATCATTAGGAGTGCTTGTACACACTATTAACATTACATGTTTCGTCATTTATGACCCCACAGGCTTCATTGCTACAGGACACTGCTTTAATTAGGTGCTATTTCAACAACAGCCTAGGTCATTAACGGGGCTGGAATTCATTCGTTGCCACCGGAGTCTCAGTCATGGTGGCCTGTTGCCTGCTGAACTTTAACACTGTTCTCAGCGACATGAACACTCCAAAGCATGTCCACAAAAAATCAAAACCTGGATACGTCATGTCTGAAATGACTGATGCATTATCACTAAAATAATCAATTCAAGCGAAACCTTAACGTGTCGACACATTTATCTGCTTTCTTCATCGGTGGACAACTGTTCAAACTAAGAAAAGTCAAGGTTGGCATTATGTAGCAAGTAACCGAGAAAACTCACTGTATTAGATTTAAGACAAGCATGGATTAAGTCAAATACACTGTTTAATTTGAAGTAAGTAAGCAGTTTTCAGTTACAGAGAATCTCTGGCTACTGTTTATTTAATTTTACCACATTTTTGCCCAGAAATAATAAAAAATTTTGCATCATAAAAGCTTGCAACTCAGAGCTGGTATAAATTACGAAATAACTGGTACGCGTAATAATCTTGCCCTTCATTCTGCGTTTTAGCCTGCTCGTCTTTGGCCCGTTATATACAGGATCATTCGGTCTCTACAGCGTCTTCATTCTCTTGATCGGCATTTTGCCAAATTGGCTCCTATGATGTCGATTAAGGTGCGCAAAGAGAGAAAGCAGAGAAGAAGAAAAACGAGAGAGAAAGATGAGGCCAGCCCAGGGGGTGAGGCGCGTGTGAGAGTGTTGAATTTCATGAGTCACGGAAGTGTTATAATTGCACCCCAGAGTTCACTGATCAGTCACATAGATTGACAGCACATCCATGTCATCCCGGGTTCAAGCCCGCCTTGGCACAGTGTGTTTGGTATCATGGCACATCCTTTCATTCTCAAATTATTATAGATTTTTCTTTGGGGGGGTTGATAGGTGCTTATGGGGAAAAAACATCACACGAGTCATATTTTAGTGCGTTGCTTTGATTTTATGGATAAAAGGCGTTTAACTCTTCACTGGAATAAATGAATTATCTTTTTACTAAAATAGAACCACTTGACTCAAAGTACGGACACATGCGCACAACACGTCCCAGGATGATTCTCTTTTATGCGCAGTTACAAAGTAAACACCAACGCGAGTCGTTTTGGAGGTAACGAGTCCTGAGCTGCTGTGATCATGCGCATTTGTTGTCACGCTGTCTGGCCCGTGCGTCTTTGGCTCTTTACCACTTTGAGTCGACGCATCTTTGCTCTGTGTGTTCAGCGGTGCGCTCTCCTGTGATCTCCGGACAGCTTTGAGAATTTCGAGAGTGTTTTTTAACCTTTGGGATGGAGATTGAGGATGTGAAAACTTCAAGCCGATTATTCCACAAGTCTTCATTCAGCATCAGCAGCCTGTTGTGGAGACGAGAAGGAGTGATGGGTGACCAGGAGTCTCCTTCTCAGTCCCAGAAAGTGCGCTCTAGCCAGCTTGCAAAAGCCAGCCATGATCAAAACTTTGAAAAGTCAAAAGAATGCGCCAAAGTGGAAACCAAAGCGGGGACTGTAACTGGGAGACGAGAAGGAAATAAGGAAGAATCGAGGAAAACCGGTGGGGCAGAAGAAAGCGTCAAACCCGAAAAACCGCCTTTTAGTTACAACGCGCTCATCATGATGGCGATCCGCCAAAGTCCCGAACGACGGCTTACGCTCAACGGCATCTATGAGTTCATCATGGAAAACTTTCCGTACTACCGGCAAAACAGACAAGGGTGGCAAAATTCAATCAGGCACAACCTGAGCCTAAACAAGTGTTTCGTGAAAGTGCCGCGCCACTACGACGATCCCGGCAAAGGCAACTACTGGATGCTGGACCCCTGCAGCGAGGACGTCTTCATAGGTGGCACATCGGGAAAACTGCGCCGCAGAGCCGCAGCTGGCTCCAGGACCAAGCTCGGGCTGAAGAGAGGAGGCGGTCGTGTGATGCCCTCGGGCACTGCAACCAGCGTCACTCTGGCCGCAGCCAGTTCGTTTTACTGGCCGGTTCCGCCGTTTCTACCTCTCCAAGCGCCGGTGCGCACCCACCTTGGCGCGGGGACATATCTGAGCGCGCACCCTCGCTTCTCCAACCACGCCACGTCAGTGGTCTCACAGCGGGCCCGACTGAGCGCAAACGCTGCGGACGCTGACCGGTTCTTGCAGACGCACCAGGAGATGTCTTACATCGGACTCAGTTGCGCGCAGTCCCGTCGCCACCAGATCGGCGCCGCGTGCACCGCCTTCTCCGCCTCCATCCCCGCGTGCACGCTGCCGCTGACAGACCCGTGCTCTTTTAACATGATCTCCGGACAAGCCAGCTACTTTTACTCTCACCACATACCGTGCGCCGCCACGTTTAGTCAAGAGGAGTGCGCCACCTCCAAGACACCAGCGGCGACGTTTTTACCCAAGAGCGGTCATGCAGACCTCGGAGGATGCTGCGGTGACTTTTCAAATTATTGCCCTCAAGTCAGCCCGAGCCCGTCGTCTTGGAATATAGAGAAATAGATACAGTCCCGACAGCCAGTGTGTGAGATTTGAAACATTGCTGTAGATAGTTTGCTAATTGTTGGAAACAAAAGGCAAAGCCAAAGAATCCCGATGAATGATAAAAATCCTGCAATATTTACCCAAATGTCTGCGCCACAGTGGATGTATCTAAGTAAAAAAAAAAAAAACGTTAATAGACTTGGATTATTTCTCAGAGTTGCAAAGTTTAAATGACCAAAAAATAAATGACGCGTGAACTATAAGTCTTAAAATACTTCCTCTGACAAACACATTTCCGAAAATGAGCAAAAAACAAAAGTGTATTTGCGTATATTGTGAATCCTAGGTTATGCGCGGATATGCGCAGATCATTTTTTAATGCAATTAACGTTCACCGAGTTTGCATCTGCTTCTGAAATTGTACTAGAAAAAATATTATCCTTTGTTAACTTTCCTCATCAATGATTTCCCACATGTGTGTTTATTGGTATCAAAAAGTGAAGGGTTTTTCGGCGCATGTCACCAGTTTTGGGTTGAAGGGAGATGAGAAGAAAACACGATTTTAAACATGAAATAAAATCGAAAAGTATAAAACTCTTGATGAAGGGAATCGCTTTCCCCAGCATGGTATCCAACACATTAAAATATTACTTTGGAAAGGTTCCAGCTTAATTTTAAACGAACGGGTGGAACCGGGTTTTTTTGTTTTGTTTTGTTTTGTTTTGTTGTTTTTTTTAGTCCGGGGACTTTTTAAATTATGAGTTTTCAGTTTGGGTGAAAATGTGATGTGAAAATGATACTTAAACTGCTCATTTGCTGCACTTACTGTCTTCGATTTCGTTAATGTTGCAACCATATATATATTACATTCCCATTTTAATGACCTTACATGTAATTAAACGATAAATAATGCATTTTTAATTGTGTTTTCTTTTAACCTCATTAAAAGCTACAGTTGTTGATTGTTCTTATTTGGCTGTGTTATTAAATGTTTCACCCTGGAGATTTGAGCCCGCACAATAAGAACTATATATAGACTGGATTGAGTGTTTTAAGGAAAGGTTGTGAGGCACAGAGGCCTCTGTGCTCTGAGCCATTCTTTTTTTTTTTTTTTTTTTTTTTTGTTTATGAACAGTTCCACTAAAAAGGTTTCTCGAGGAGATATCGTGTGGAAAGGGTTGTGATGTAACCTCAACAGGTAGACATGGCATTTCCAGTCGCGCAGATCTTATTGATCTGTCTTCTGTTTCAACCTGCGCTGACATCACTGCCTGTTAAACTTTCCCTCACCTCTCCTCGCCGCTGCCCCCTGGAGATATAAATTAATAGATGTATGTGGATGCAGATTAGAGCAGATGTCTCTTTTAAACAAAGGGTTCTTTATCAAAAACATAAATAGAAAGAAAGAAAAAACCTCAGCCCGCCACCTTTCCAAAGCCAGTCACATCCTCAGTCACGTGTGGTTAAAGCAGACCGGGCTGGATCAGGTAACTTCACTGTTGCCAAACTCACCGTCTAGATAGATACAAAAGATAATATTTACACTTTGGCATGAAGGACTGTGGTGTGCAGAGCAGCAAGGGGGGGAGCTTAGCTGTGAAGCAACAAGCTTTTGGTGCAAAGTAGACTTTTGTATCCTGAGGCAAGAGTAAGAAGATACTGTTTGCTGTTAGTGTAATAAATAACATGTTTAGTTTGACAGCTCTACTAATAACCATAGAGCTATAATTCACCCTGCTACAATAAGGTTTAGCTGGTTTTTGGTGTGCAGGAGGCTGCAGAAATCAGGATGGCCTTTTCAAAAATCAACCAGAAGTTTAAAAAAACCTCTTTAGTTATCATCTCTTTCAGTTTTTTAGATACATTTTTTAAAATGTACAACAAAATGTAAAGTGGGAATAACACGTTTGTTTGTTCAGTTTTATTTGGGTGAGAAGGAATAGGCCTTTGAACACCCTCACATATCTGCATTTGTTCTTCCGTTAAAATTAGGTTGGAATTCACTTGCTGAGCATGAAGCAGTCCATGCCAGACCTTCGACGTCTCCCTCCACATCATTTCTGTTTGGAGAAACAGATCAGCTCTTTAAAGCCACTGAACATTCTGCATCAGTATGTCTCAAAGTGCACCTGTTTGACCAGCTTGTTTCTCCCACGCTGCAAAAGTTTCAGGCTCTGTTTATGCTCCAACATTTTCTGTCAAAAAGAAACCTTGTTACCACAAGCTACCACAAATTCTTATTATTATTATTATTATAAATCAAACAGATTAAACAGATTTTTGCTGTGCACTGAAAAAGAGCTTAAAAAACACTTATGGGAAAGGGTGGCTATCACTCTGTTCCTGGCATGTCCTTGTTCAGTGTAAGGTGTTGTATAGGTTCAGTTTCACTCACATTAGACACTCTAAATCCTTTCCAAATGTAGAGTCAATCTGTCATACCCACACCTCTTTGTAACACGCTTTCTGGAGGTGTCCCAACGTGTTCACGTGTTTGAACTCAATCTTCAAAGTGCTGTCAGATATTTCTTTCAGACTAGTAATTCAGTCTGACTATTTCACCATATTTGGGATTTTGGGTAAGAATAATAACCTTCCTGTAAATGAAGTCAAAATAACAAAAGTTGCCACCTTGTGCTGCTTGAGGGAGATGATGCAAACTTGTATTTGCCTGCTCTCTTAACTGACCAAAGTCCTTTCAGGCTCCCACAGTTCCGTTTCATGTATATGAGCTCATTTTACACCACAGTTTAGGATGCAAGACTTTTGGCTGAGCTAGGTGTGCTCCATAAAGATGTACCCCAGCAGCGCTCGTAATCGATCCCAGTCAATAACACTCCCCTCCTCAGCAGCACACAGGCTGCCATTATCTGCAGCAAGTGCTTTCGACAGGTAGATCTGCAACCACTGAAACAAGGTGGGTGGGATGGACACCTATAGGCGTCTGTCTGTCTCTTGTCAGAAAGCCAATCTCCCTCTCTCAGACATAGACGTGCTCTTTTTACTCGTTCTTGTTGTACCGAAGAGCAAAACAATGACTTAACTGTTTGAGTCTGCATATCAGTTTGACTGCTCTCTGATTTATTTCCTTTATCCTATAACATCTTCTTAAGAACTCTGAGTTATATTGAGTCCCATGGTGTTAATATTATTTTTATTTTATTTTATTTTATTTTTAATTATTATTAGAGCATGTTGTTTCAGTATTCTTTGCAGAAAAAAAACATAAAATTACCACAGTGTAAAATTGCTCTATTCCCTATAATAAGTAAAATAATAAGTAAAATTATGCTTTCAAACTGAAAGACAATTTGAGCATGCTTACATAAGAATTTATCCTGTATTTAATATGTTAACAGCAATGTCAATTTTATATGTATATACCATATTTTACTACGCGTAATCTCATGGGTTTACCATAAAAGTTAAAACCATTGAAAGCTTTATCAACTAATAGAAAGATTTATAGTTTATCCTGTACTCAACTGGGAGCCAATGAAGTGACTTCGGCACTGGAGTAATATGTTTAAATCTTCATGTATGTGTGAGGACTCTTATCAAAGTATGTGATTACAAAAACTGATTATCCAAAAAAAATATTCTGTCTCTGATTTTCTGGACTAAAAACAAATATTTCTGTCTTACCTCTTAAAATTCAGCAATTAATGTGTCATTACTTTGTGAACAGGATAGATCACCGGAGTAGAATAATAAAATCATATCTAGTCAGCTTTTAGAAGCAGTCTATTGAATAAAATGTAAAATATAATGCAATTAATGATGGAAACGTGTGTTTCAGATGGACTTCTTTGTAGCGTTTAGTGAGCCTGTAGTAACCCGGTAGTTGTAGCGGCGTTTTTGAAGCGCCTTCAAACGACCCGGAAGTAGTTTGATCCACGCGAGCCCAACGGAATCGTTGCAGAGCGAGCTGAAAACGACCGAATTGTTACAGAGTGAGCTGAAAACGACCTAAAGAAACCATGTAAGTGTTTGTGATGATCAGCTGCTGTTATGAGAGACTGGTTATTCTTTCAGACACTGAAATCCGCTAATAGCGAGCATTTAAAAGGCTAACATTGTTAGCCTTTCTGCTACCCGGGCCGGTTAGCGTGATGCTTTTTAGACGATTTCGGAGCTCTGCCTTTTCATAACTAGCTGTGTTACAGTTTTGTTGTAGTTATATCAAAGTAGTTCGTACATCTGGTCTTCTTTGTTGTAAAGTTTCAAAATACTGATTCCGAAATCAGACTATAGCGTAAATGCTAGTTTTCTAAATGCTAACAAGAGACAATGTGTGAGCGTGCGTTTTCATGCTGGTAAATAATTGCGACCTGTGGCAGTCTAGTGACGTAAAAATTATTATTTTAAAATAGTTTAGCATAAAGGTCCCCAAACATGTCCCAAAATATGACTCACTGAAGCTTTTAAATGGCGAGGTTTAAGCTTCAGCGTGTTGTCTGATAAATGCATCTCTGTGCCCAATACCTATTTTTTTTACAGGTGTAGTGAGGTACTTTACTTTGTGTACTGTGTACAGCTTAAGTTTTCCACTTAACTTTTCTCAGTAAGTAGTCACACAACAAACAATGAATGAATTTTTGCGAAATGTCATAATAATTAAAAAAAACATCAAAATGTATAATCGGGCTATCTGTACCTGAGCTGTGTCAACGCACAAAATTCCCTGTTGTAGGATCAATAAAGTCTTGTTTTATCTTAGTAACAGAAAACCTCCAATAGTGCTACTTTACTACTTCAAATATGCCATTGTCATTGTCACACTCATTTATTAGGATACTGTTATGATGTTGTTTCATTGTTTCATTTGCAGGAGCCTCTTAACAAAGCCCAAGTCAGAGATGACCCCTGAAGAGCTTCAGAAGCGAGAGGAGGAGGAGTTCAACACCGGCCCCCTCTCAGTCCTCACCCAGTCAGTGAAGAACAACACGCAGGTCCTCATAAACTGTCGCAACAATAAGAAGCTGCTCGGAAGAGTTAAGGCTTTTGACAGGTATTGAATCAGACACTTATTTAGTATTTAACACTCTTGAGGGTATAATGTGAGACTTACTTGTATATATTAGTGTGTTTTTTTTTTTATCATGTTTCTTTTGTCTGTTTTCTTACATTTAAGCCTTTATTTCATTATTATTGCTAGCCAATGGTGATAACATGCTATCGCGTCACTTTGGTCCCTTTTTAGTATTCACTCGTTTCCTATTTTTCTCCATTGGAGTCACATTTAGCACCTTTACTTTGTTATTAAATATTGCCCTCTCTCAAAGGTAAAAATAACCAAACACATTTAGTTTGTTATTCTTGTATAATGTAGCTGGAACATCATAATCCTCAGGCACATTGGATCATTTTAATTAGCTGGTTTACACACCTAATGAGTGAAAGATCTGCCGGCTGAATCCCAGAGGAAATGCCAACTCCTATTGGTGTTGCGTCAGAAAAATCTGTTATAGAAATTGAAAACATGCAGAACTACCCACTGTGAATGAGGTAGCAGCTAAAAAGTACTTTTTGTTTTGTTTTTTCCATTATAGGTGTGATATTTATTTATTATTTCTTCTGATACTGCAAAATATTTAAAAAAAAATCACAGAACATGTAAATGCATATGTATGAGTACCTGAGTAAGATCACAGGGCTTTTATTTATGTATGCATTTATTTTCTATAAATTACTAACATTACATCACCATCGGCATTTCAGGCATTGCAACATGGTCTTGGAGAACGTGAAGGAGATGTGGACAGAAGTTCCGAAGAGCGGGAAGGGAAAGAAGAAGTCGAAGCCCGTAAATAAGGACCGCTACATTTCTAAAATGTTCCTCAGGGGGGATTCTGTCATCGTGGTGCTGAGAAATCCTCTGATCACAGGAAAATGAACTCTCTGAACCGCTCACCTATTCTTTTTTTTTTTTTTTTCTTACACTTTCTCAAGGCAATTGATTGTAGTTGCCGTAACCTTATTTGTTTTGATTTTGATGTTGGATCACTGAATTCACTATTAAGACAGAAAACATGTCATCAAAAATATGTTTCTCCCATTTGACGGTCATTTAAAATGTTAGGCACGAAAGTGACCAATTTTTTTCTTTGTCTGTGGAGCTTTTCTGTCTTTTTCATTTTCATAATAAAAGTGATGAAGAGATGAAAACATTGTGCAGATATTTTTATAGCTTTTAGAGTGTATGTAGTTTACATTACACAAATGTAGACTAGTCTTTATATTATTAATTTTTCTGACAAAACAATGGTTTTATGTTTTCAGATTGTCTGTTTATCCCATTCTCAAGAATTCAATATTTCAGCTTCATCACATTTGGTACATCTATTTATGTTCACTTGGGCTAAAAATCAACATCCCTGACTTCAAAAACCATTTTGGCTCCAACTAAAGAATTAATTTAATAATCACTGCACGCTTTCACACAAACATCTGACTGGGTCTTTAACTTTACCAGTAATTAAAATGATGATGTGATAAACTTGAATAACCATAACATTTACAGTGACATAACGTCTCACCAACAAAGAAAAAGAACTTTGCTTATTATTCAGGGCCAGAACTCAGAAACAGACAGGACTTGTTCTGACACAAAAAGGTGACTTTAATCTTTGCCGCCCACTTGGAAGTCCCTAAAAGTCCATTTTACGTATCAGTTTGGACGGATGTTACTATAAAGTTCAACTTCACTAATCGACGAGCGCATACGCTCATGAGGTTGTACTTGGTGGTATTTTGTAGCGCTCGCTCAGTGCAGTCATTGAAAAGTTGTTTCTCCTTGCCAGCCTCCCCCTCCCCTTCTCCTCCTCATTCTCCTCCTTCCACTGTCACCCTTTCACTCTCCCCTGACAGCATCTAAGGTGTCGGGCTTGATTTCAGTCAGCAGCGCTCAATAAGCGACAAACTGCCGTTTAAAGGCCCACTGCATTATTGATGAGACCAGATGTGCTGACTGTCACTTCACACCCTCATCTCTCTCCATTTCGAGCCGTTCCCTCTCTGCCGCTCGGCCCCTCCTGACCACTTTGTTAATTGTCTTAATAGCTCGACAGCTAGTGTCGCCTTACTTCTCCCTACCAGTTGGCATCTAACCTCTGCTCTGTGGTGCTCTCATATTCAGTGGTTACGTAGATGAAATGCTTGTTTGTGTATTTTATAGTTTTCTGTGAAGGGTGGGCGGGCGGGTCGTTGAGAATTGCATGCCTCTGATTTCTGAATCGTTCCTCTTGTTTTATCTGATGGAACCTCATGAAAAAATTGCTAAATATGTTTACAGAAGTATCCTGAATTTTCTGCTGTCATCTTAACATCTTGACCTCTGTTTTATAATTTATGTCACATTACACTCTCACTGTTAACCCTGCGCCTATCAGCCCAGCACCTGTGGAGTATCTGTGTGAGGGCAACAAGTCGTCACTGATTTACAGCTCTCAGGTGAAGCCTGCTGGGTGAGTCAACGGGAGAGTCGGGCTTAGCGCTTTATGTGAAATGTAGTGAACTTCTGTGACTGCTCTAATAGCTATTGCACTAATGCTTCTGGCAAATCCAAGTTTGAGATCATGTTGCGGAGGCCGGAAAATAGACGAGTTGTTTCATAGTCAGCCCAAGGGCACACAGCAGCTGTTCAGGGCCCTGCGGCAACCAGGAAGCCCCCAAAAGATCTGATCCTTTTTCTGAAGTTCAGATTTACCCATGTTGTAGATCAAGTAGTAAACCATCCAAAACAAGATAGGGATACTTTCACTTAGAAATCAGTTTGATGTGAGAGTCGGTAATCCACACATCAAACATGACAGATAAGGGATTTTTTATTTTTCCCTTGTTGTTACCTTACCCATATTTAAATCCACAAAAAAAAAAGATTTTAAGCATGAAAATAAATAAATCAGCTCATTTTCATTCACCCTCATTTATTTTTTGTGGGCCAAATCTAATGGTTAACATGGTGAAACTGGAAACATTATATCAATTTTTGTTAACGTAATAAATAAAGAATTACTACGACGGTTACAGCAGCAACCAAGAACAGTGACCCTTCTGTTTAAGCTGAGAATCTGAGTGAAAGACCTCATTCATACAGACTAAATCCATGGCTCTGTGCTATATGCTTCACTTCCACCAGTTTAATTATGCTCTTTGTCAAATATACAAGGCGTTGAAATGTATATGCTTGACAACACACTTGAAAACAAATATTTCAGCTCTATTTTTAGCCTGGTGCTAGTAATGTGACGACAAATAGGGTCACAGCAAGAACAATCAGTTTTGCCCTTTTGCACAAAGTAATCAGATCACCTTTGTAGTGCGACCTCTTTACATTAAAATGAAATTTGACTGAATTTGACCAGGACTCCTGAGCAAGAAGATAACAGACAGTTATGAAATATGAGCTTTCCGGTGTTACCCGGGCATTCCAGTACAGGAGTCCAGTTTCACCTTCAAATTAAGGTGGTATGATTGCCTTCCCTGACCACTTAGCATTGCAAGATTATAATCAATTAGACAATATACTGAGCATTGGGCACTTTTTAAGTATCCCCATTGACCAAGAATGCCAATCATAACACTTAACGGCCGCTCCTTTCTAAATATAAGTAACATTTCTTAGGTCAGTTCTTCAGATGTAAATGTTAATTTCAGACATGATGCTAGAACTAGAGACAACTTACAAGAGCCTTGAACTAAGGACTCCATGCACACTTACAATCTGCACCTCTGCACTGAGATGTTAATTGTATTGTATCTACTTTTTGTAATACCAACAGAAGCTAACAACAATAATCAGTGAAATCAATATTATAAACAGTTGAAAAGCCACAATCGCGAAATACATCATTCTTTTTTGGTAACTATTTTGAACTCTGTTCATTCTGTTCCACTCATTTCCTTCAGATATTATTTCCTTTATGACTTTCATGCAAAGGTGAGGGGTCAGATTCAGCATCAAACAGAAGGAAGCTTCGTTGCAGGGGCGCTCCCACTGAGGCAGCGGGCCCTGGATAGGAGCAGATCACCACTCGGTCTCCTTAGACTCAGTCTGTGATCGTTTTTTTTTAGGCACAGTGAGAGATTGTCCCTTTTGCTATAAAAAAGAAAAACCCCTCAACTGTAAAAACTGACACTTTATGTATACATTTACCTCCCTTACCAAGGGTGTTTCCAGGTTTTCATCTTGAACTTTAAAGGTAAAATGTTTTGCAAAGTGGGAAAAAAGTATTTAGACTATTTCCTTACCTAAAAGTTAAAAACCTTAAGTAGTTTAAACCTGCATTTGATTCTATCATGTTCCAGCTGTTGATTTTAATAACTTACATATTGCTGGTCAGCTTGATCTCAGATAAGTCATTTAATTTATCTCCAAAATAATTAGTGAATAAAGCTTTAAAATAAAAGGTACATGGTATTATATTTTCATCCAAAACATAATGGAGTAAAATAGAAAAGTAGTATTACATGGAATTACTAAAAATAAGTTACTACAGTTACATTAAACTTGTACTTCAGTAAAGCACATGAGTAAGTCCTATCCATGATCTCATCCAATGGTATTGCGCATTGTGAGACATGTACCTGAGCCCCACCTGGGTTAGTGACACTCATGAAGTAAAAATTTTTTTTAATTTAAACATAAAGTAGAAAAAGAGGAAGTTTCTTACTATGACTTGTGTTCTTAGGTGAACATATAAAATACATGGTGACAACATATTTGCCTGCTATTGTATATGAACACCAGTCTTAAATAATGTTTTGTTGATGGCCAGGACTAATGCTGTCTTTAAAGCTGGTATAAAAATTCTCTAAAGGTGAATTAGTGAGCTTTACGGTGGCCCTGAGCATTCAAGTGCTCTTCCATTTAAATAAAGAAAGGCAAAAAAACCCAGCAAATATAAAAGTTCAGCAAAAGCATGCCAGGGGCGCCACCATTTTTGCTACTGTACCTTTGCACTGTCCACTTTCTGCTGTGACAAAACAAATTTCCCACATGTGGGACTAATAAAGGTTATCTTATCTTATCTTATCTTATCTTATCTTATCTTATCTTATCTTATCTTATCCTATGAGGGGCACTGGCCACCCCCCAATTCTGGGAGATAGCCAACTAGAAAGACGGTGTAATAACTTTAATAAACGCGAGCACAGGAGAGAGGGAGACACCCTACAATGAGTTGAAACATTATTGTTATTTAAAACTGATTATTTCAGATTTCAAAATCTTATTTGGTTTTCATATGTGCCCATTTTCTGTGATAACAACAACAATTAGCAAGAAATTACCTAGACATATAATTCTTTTCTTGCAATAATTTTTGCCATATTTTTCAAGTAACCTATATCTGACAACAGCATAATAAAATTGGTAATTATTTTTTGGGTGTGCCCCAGCAATATTTTTAGTGGCCCCTACATGGCCACCCCTCTGAAAAAAATCTGGAGGCGCTCCTGACCCAAACAAAACACCATCACGTGTTAGTGAGGTTGAAAAGGTCAAAGTCTAAGGCACACATAATCTTTTTTATTAAAACCTGTAATGACCAGTTGAGCGTTCAGACACAGACTCTAATTTCATTTCACTTCATTTTATGCTATCGGTTAATAAGGTTAAAAGTACTATTTCGGTGCCGGTTTGCGCTTATTTTGGCTGTAGCTAAGTAAGCACCTGCCTGGGCGCCTTAGTGTCACCCCCGGAACCTGAAGGTAGTCTATGGATTATAGAAAACCAAGTTCAGTCTCCCTTTTATTTACTGTGACAAACACGAGCGACCTATCACAAAGTGTAAATCTACAGCTTGTTTAGGATCAAATAGCATCTCTCAACAATGAAACTCAGCTGCAGCATCGTGGGACAAAGCCCTGTCACATAGCCGATGGGTCTATTTGGAGATGCCTCGGATAAAGACAACTTTAGGGACCTGATTTGTCGGGTATCATCGTGCATTTGTCTCAGATTACTTACACTCGTGTCAAAGACACTTCAAGAAGTCTCTTTCCCTCCAGATTTTGGGGAGGATGAGCGATCCGTGAGCAGGAAGGCAGATGTTTTATTCAGTAGGTAAGCGATAAGAGGGGGGAAGTGTGATTATGATAGCGATCGGCCAAGCATCGATAGGCAACCATCCGAGGAACGCGACACCCTGCAGCGCATC